GCAAATAATTTTGGCATGCTTTACCGACATAATGCCAGCATAATGGTAGTATACATGCTGCAAATTTGCTGCAATCTTATGATTGATTTTGCCAGCAATTTGTCGGCATATTGCTGACATTTTGCTATCAGGGTAGCTGCTGATTGACATCTACAAATGTATGCTATGTGGCACAACCAATACTTACCTGCTCTTGCAGTATAAATACAACTGATTTAAATGGGTGTATATTAGTTGGACACGGGGCAATTGGACACAGTCCAATCACAAGTCGCAGTTCCAAGGGACTCTACAAATGTCTCTAATCACACGGTGCTGTGATTGGCTGTGTCCAAATGCACCGTGTCCAAGTGCACCGCTTCCGATTTAAATGTGTTATAAAGATTAAAAAATTTTTAAAAAAACATAAGGCGTCTACTTTATTATTTTAAAGATGAATCTTACATGTGAGAAGATATGGCTGCTGAGGTGACTGACATCTACAGATACTATAAGGAACTGGTGCTTGAACTCACTTGCGAATTATTAATAAAGACCAAGAACCTAATAATTAAAAGAACCATATAAACTCGCAGGTAAGTTTGAGAATCAATTTCATGCAGAATTTGTAGATGTCAGTCAGTTCATCAGCTGTATCTGCTCACATGTAAAATACATGTAATAAGTATACGCCTCATGTCTTATGCATGTTTTTTAATCTTTATAATACATTTAAAGAAGTTACATTTAGACTATAGTAGCAGGTAAGTATTGGTTTTAATTTTCTTTTATTCATAGAATATCAAGAGCTTTTTAAAATTCAATACCAGGTAAGTTTAATGTATAACTGACGCCCTCAATCTTCAAAAGAGAAAACCAATATTTTCGAAAATGTCGATAAACGCAAAAATTATTTTTCTTTTATTACAAAGAAGTCCACGGCGTTCTTCCTGACAATGAGTAACGCTGAATGTAGTTCAAAGAAGAATTTCTGATTCTTATTCAGCGACTGAAGAAGATCGAAAATTCCAAGTTTCATAAAAATCTAGTTCTGTTTAAAAATCTGTTCGCCATATTGGATCCACCATTTTGAATTTTCAAAAACTGATTTTAGATTCGTAATCAGCGAGGCCAAAAACCCCTACATACCATGTTTCATAGAAATCCTTAATAAAATTAAAATCCGTCCGCCATATTGGATCCGGCATTTTGAATATTCAAAAACTGACTTCAAATTCGAAATCAGCGAGGCCAAGAAGCTCTAGATACCAAATTTCATACGAATCCTACAAACAGTTTGTAAAGTACCTCTTATCCCCCCACCAAAATTTGTAGGGGCGATTTCTACCCCAAAATTCGTTTTTGGGGAAAAACAAAAAAATATGTATCTAAAAGTTTTTGAAAAACTACTTGTATGCGCAGTTTCAGGAAAATCGGTGATTATCACTTCCCTAGTGTTACTTGTAAGTATTTTTCGATATTTTCTCCGGAAGGTCTCGATTTAAATATTTTGTATAGAAGATCTTTTTCTAGCAATTAGTTCAGCGCATCTGTTATGCCACCACACCACCGGGGGTCTTTTAATGTTTGTCTGAAATTTTTTTAATTTAGCTCCAGATGTCAGTAAAGAAGTATGTATTTTATTATAAAATTGGTCAAATTCATGTACTGGGTCCGTAGAGCTATGCACAACCGTGGAGGATTCCCGAGAAAGCATATATGAATCAGAATTATTCTCGTTAGAGTTAAGATTAACTTTGAATTGGTCCCAGTTTACCCTAGAAACATTGTAATGAGGTCTACACCCAAACTTATCGTAATTAAAGTTATTTATAGAGATCATACAGGGAAAATGGTCACTACCATATTTATATTCTAAAGTTTTCCATCTGCATTTATTGGCTAAGTTGGGGGAGGCCATTGCAATATCTATCGCACTTTGTGTAGCACCATTCACAGATGTCCATGTAGGAGCCCCATCATTTAAAATAACTAAATTGTAATTCAATAGGGCCTCAGCAATACGCATACCGACCCAATTGGGGCAAAGTGTATAATTACACCAATTTGTGTGCTTGCCATTCCAATCTCCGCATATTAAAATGTTATCATATCGACTTAACAAATCAAAGAGTGTAACCCATGGATCACCGTTAAACAATTCAGATTCAGCATTCGGAGGGTTATATATGACGCAGATATGCATTGGCTTGTTATCAATATTTATCTTAATAAGGCAATAGTCTATCATAGAATTAAAGCAAATATAATCTAGATCATTGGATCGTATATCAGTGAATTCAACAGGGTGTATATCAGTTGGACACGGGGCAATTGGACACAGTCCAATCACAAGTCGCTGTTCCAAGGGACCCTACAAATGTCTCTAATCACACGGTACTGTGATTGACTGTGTCCAAATGCACCGTGTCCAAGTGCACCGCTCCCAATTCAACATATCTTTTAATAAGGATGGCTACACCGCCTCCTCTACCATTTCGGTTGCAGATTACCATGTTATAATTGAGCCAAGATAATGTACTACTATCATTCAACCATGTTTCAGATAAACATAAGATTGAAGGGGAAAAGTTTTCAATGAGAAAGGCTATATCTCCTAATCGAGCTTTAATCGACCTACAGTTCCAAGCCAGTACATCAAAGCCAGCCATATCTGAAATAAACTTTAGTAACTAGATACCGGATGTATATATTATTTGTTCAGTGCTTATTTATAAAGGGCTAATATCAATATTTGTTGAAGCTACTTGGTGTAAAAGGTCTTCTAACTGGATTTTGCTTAATTTCAAATAAAGATGCTTATCGTCAAATGTAGATTTTTTTTTTTTTAATAGATGCGAACTTAATACATAGTTTGTCTTGGGAGCGGTGCACTTGGACACGGTGCATTTGGACACAGCCAATCACAGCACCGTGTGATTAGAGACATTTGTAGGGTCCCTTGGAACAGCGACTTGTGATTGGACTGTGTCCAATTGCCCCGTGTCCAACTGATATACACCCGTTTGTCTTTAATTAAATTAGTTAATTGCGCTTGCGAAGGTGTAAGAAGGAGTGATTGATCATCCTTCCCCCCAGAATCTCGACCCCCGTTGCTCCCGGGCGGAGACTCGTCGGACTCTTCAGCACTGCTCAAATGGCCACTGTCGCACTCCCAGTAGTCAGAGTTTTGGGATAAATTCCCAGAGCCAGACGAGCTACTAGATATTGATGAAGAAGAGGTTAATATTGAATGCGAACCATCCGCAACTTCCGTATAATTGGTAAAGCTAACAGATCGTTTGCTTTTACTTCTGCTTTTACTAGGTTTGATATCAGGAAAGTCTGTATTAGATTCGATATCGTAAAGCAGTAATTGAATATCCGAATTATCAGAAATAACACAGATCTTCCTTCCTTTCTTATGTCTTATACGTTTGTTAATCTTAAAAATGTTGTCAAGGATTTAGTTATGTTCGTCACTACTACTGCTGCTACTGTTACTACTGCTACTATTATTACTGTTAGAATTCTCTGAAAGTATCCTAGCAAAAGATGGTTTAATATAGTCAGCGAAGGTAAGTAGTATATGATTCTGTCTGTTTGGAGAGATATCGAACCATTTGTCATCTAGTGTATGACCATATTTCTTGTAAAACACATTAGCTTCTCTCGCCCCAAGGCATGTTTTGGCCATAACTATCTTAATTTTATAATTTTCAATATAAATAGGACATTTCTTATCATGTGTGGAGTGTTTACATTCAGGAAGTTTAGCCCTCACGCAATTAATACAAGTAAGCTGAGCGCTTACACACGAATTTGCGTTATAATCCCCGAATGCACATCTGTAGCATACTCTAGCTCTTTCACCCCCCCTGCACTGTGCTGCGACATGACCATATCGCAGACAATTCTCGCAACATCTAACTTTCTGTACATATGGTAACAAATAAATCCTTCTCCCCATATATATAGCAGAATCCGGTGAAAAAGAAAATGAGTATGTAATAACAAAAATACCTGAATTAGTGTATTTTACTTGGTCCGGGTTTTTATTGTCAACTTGTCTGGATTTAATATTATCCACACGTAACGGTTTAAACCAGATTCCCGTCCATTCAGGCGGGCCTATTAAGTTCTCCATAATTTCCTCAGGAGATTCGTCTTTATCCAAGTCCTTTGTGATCAGCATGTGTTGAACCTTGTAATTAGGGATGTAGGCTATCCAAGTTGAGTCTGGAAATATCTCATTCCTCTTGCCATAGATACATTCCACCAGCTCATTGGCTGATATCGCGTCCAGAAGATTGACTTTAAATTTACATTTTCCCAAATGTCTAAGATCGAATGCTTTCCTCCAAATATTCGAGCACAGTTTATGTAATACTTTTCCTAATTTTATTTCACTCGGAAAGTGAAGTTTGTTCGTGATCTCATCAGGTTGAAAATGGGATATTCTTTCAATTATTACTTCGAAAGGCCCCGGATGTGTGCCGTCGCATGTATTTTCTATAAAACGTATATACTTATTTGGTATATCCAAACGTTTCTTTTTTGGTACAAAGTTCTCTGGTGTCAATGGGTCTTTAGGCACCATGTTTATGGGAGCTGTGGTATCTATATCTGATCCATCACGTGAGGTGCGGATAGCCTCCACATCCTCCACCGATAGCTTCCTCTTGTTAGGTGTTGTTGTAGGTGAGTCGAGTTTCCCGCCTATTTCCTCCATAACAGATGTCTGTGTGTTATTTGTTGTAGCTGAGTCTTTTCCTTTTCGAATTCGCAGTTTCTTCCACTCTTCAAATATGTCAAATCAAAAGAGGCCCGCAATACGTGCTAAGTGTCAACCAGTGTCACACAGTTTTTTTAGTATCACAAACTCAAAGGGTGCATATAATCACTAATGACGTCTGAAAGTTCAAACACGTCTAACTTTTCGCCATGATTATCCATTTCATCTCCCTTCGGCAAAATGACATGACATACTGAAAACTAAAGCCACATGATGGTGCTTTGATATGAAGGTAACAACAATATAACCCGATTCGATATGTGGAAATGTCACTCAAACATACACGTAGCACCTTGTATATGTTGTACACAACTCTAAACGTGCTCGATGCTCAGAATGCAACTTTGGATGGCACACATGTCACATATAAGAACGAATGCTCATTGGTGTCATTTAACAAAAGAAATGTATATATTTACGTGTTGACACAGACGTTTCTTTGGTGGGTTCCGACCACCACGCAACATGAAATAAATGAGCAATAGAAATGAGATCGCACGCACTTAACCTACGCAAAAAGAACAAAGGAACAAGAGGAACGCAGTTTTCACAATGTCACTAATTTAACCTAAACGCTGGTACTTAAATTCAACACACAGCATGTTGGTACAAAGAAAAGAAAAGAACGTTATCACGGCTTGTGTGGAGGTCGCGGTACGAAACAAACAAAAGAGAGAAAGGATCTGTTCCACAAACAAGGTCGAACACGCGCATACTTGTGTACGAACACGTGTACGGGTAGACACGGTACTAAGACTGTGCACACAGGTGATTACGCAGGAGCACGTGATCGACACCGCCGATGTACCGTGTGCGCACGTGGATCTGTCCGCGGCACGTGGACAGCCCGTGTTACTGCCCGGTTATGCACGGCTCAATGTTACACTAGAGCAAACAGAAAATACGCGTAGTGAGATACGAAATATCTTACTGTTAATGCGCGCGAATGACTAACATTACAAGCAACGCTGTTACAAAGATGCGCTTAACGGGAGCGGTGCACTTGGACACGGTGCATTTGGACACAGCCAATCACAGCACCGTGTGATTAGAGATATTTGTAGGGTCCCTTGGAACAGCGACTTGTGATTGGACTGTGTCCAATTGCCCCGTGTCCAACTGATATACACCCGCGCTTAACAACACAGCAATATTTCCGCACGGTCACACTTCACGAGGTTCTCTTTGGCACAACGCTTTACAAAAGTTTACGCCACTGCGTAGTTGTGATTACTTGCACGATTTATCTCGCTCAATTCCGGCACGAGAGAGGACATGTGTCGCAATAGCGAACCGGCACGCACCTCACGAAGGAAACCGCGACACGTAGGACAGCTAGTCCAGACAAAGGAAAAACGTGTGTAAATCTCTAGCGTGAGAGAAAACGGCTTCTACCTTCTTGCGACCTGATACGACTCGATACGACTGGATGCGACTGACTGTAGAGAGAGAACCGTCTATAGTACTTATGGTGCGATCGCGAAAGCTTGGCGCAGCAGTAGTTTCTGCTTTCGCCTATCAGCGCGCGGCAGCTGCTGACAAGTGTGTATGCATGCGCGTGTACGTCCAGCGTTAGCTGAGGCCACAGATATAGTACTAGTTACGCTATCTCTTGAAAATCCTTTAAAATTAATGCACATTCCCAATATAATATTATTTAGTACAACAAAGGATGTTTCCGATAATACCTCTCCGAGTCATTTCCCTAGAGCAGAAATAAGTTACAGACACCACCATCTACTACTATTATGTGATTCATGAGAACCCAAAGCTATCTAATGCTGTCTCACGACTGCAAGCAGGGTTAGGCAGAACAATACTGTGACAAATGCACGAGATAATAATTTTGTAAAATTGTATTATTGATTATAAAATCACTTGGTATTGTTTTCTAATAAAATTTTATTTATTCTTAATTAAAGTTATATAACCATTAAAATATATATTATATTTTTCAAATATTATCCTAAAGTAAAAAGTCTGTTTTAACCTATTTGCAAGTTTGTTTTTACATAACTCGTGCAGGTGCAAGTCCACAATAAATTATGCCATTAGGGTATATTGATGACAAAACAAGGGTTCTTTTGCACCTGAAAATGAACTCAGAATTGGTGACATACGACTGAATTCTTTTTAATTCTCTATGCTATTTGGATTCTCTGTGCTATTTGAATTCTCTGTGCTATTATGGACGAATATTTCCATGTTATTAAGAGATTAATGGCAGGTTTATTAACTTTTGTGTAATGTGTTACTATCTTAGAATTTAAGATTGCTATAATCTTATGGCAATATTAATATGCTGTAAGTGATAATATTTTATTACAATATAATTACTAAAATATATTATACTAAATAATAAAATTTTTAATTTGCAATATTGTTGAAATATTAATGCAATGTTGCTGAAGATTTACTGGTATCTTACGAAATTATGTCTTTGTAACATTGCACTGCAATATACAATATTGTAACGTTGCAGCAATGTTGCGTTATGTATGGGAAACTTTAAATATAATAGGAACACACGCACCACCGCAAGCCCGCCTGAGCGCGCGTGTAGGCGAGCAATATGTGTGTGTAGCAGGCACCTTCCTAGCTTATAAATTCGATGTTTTTATATATACGGTCTTCAAAAATTACATTCATTTTATGCAACTTCTTTTGTTAATAACTTTTTAACGAACAACGAGCGACGACTAAAACCTTCAGAAAGTCACTCAGGAGGATAACCTCTACAATATATATCAAGATCAAAGTCATCGGAGGTGGGTCCCCTATTCGGCATATTTAATAAATTTTTTTTTTTAAATGTGATGGAAATAAATTTTAAACAAATCTTATAACGTTAAAAAAACATTATTTCAAAACATTAAAATAAATGTATTTCTAATGAAAAAGAGAAATTATTCCATTATTTTTAACATTTTTTAAATGATGTTTCCGAACGGCATCTCTGACCTTTATCTAAGGAAAGGAAGGTGTCGTGAGCGTGGAGCGTCAGGTAGCTCAGTGGTTTAAATCAGTCGCCCGGCAAGCGAAAGACTACCCGACAAAAACAGATATATAAAATCTATCACATGGATCATCGACGTCGACATCCACATGGAACATCGAATGGATTATCCGCTCGAAAACGGTACTAGAATCCATGTGGAAAAGAAAACAGATATCCACGTCAAATCCACATAATTTATATGAATCATGTGGATGGGCATTTTCCCAGTAAACGCTAGATATTCCTGGAATATTTATTTTATAAAATGTTCCTAGAATCCAAAATTAATATTCCAAGAATATCCTAAAATTTTCCGGAATATTTGTAGAATGTACAAGAAATATTCAAATAAGCGCAAAAAGTTTCACTTTTTTACAAATATTAGTAAATTGGTTCAAATAAAAAACCTGTCAGCGTTTGCTGATTTTATTTGAAATTTAAGATTACCTGATTCCAAATGTAATATTACACTTAAAAATTCTCACTAACACTGGAATTCGAACTTGGAAAAACCTGAGGCACCTTTAAATTATAAGCCTATTGCTTTAGACACTATACCACTTCTTCGATCGATATAAACGTCTTATATTTTGTCTATATATGTTACAATTAGCGCAGTAATATAATTTTTT